CGACTCGTCTGCAACAGACTGGTTACGCACAAAATGGAACGCAGCAAGCCACTCAGCTTCGCTTAGCTGCTGCTGCTGCTGCTGCTGCTGCTGCTCCCGCAGCTGCTGCAGCTCCTCCTCACTCAAACCCAACTGCTGCAGCAGCAGACCAGTCAGGTCCCCCTCCTCTGCTTCCAGCAGCGCAGCAAGGCGTTTGTGCTGTCTGTATATCTTTGCAGCAGCAGCAGCAGCAGCAGCAGCTGCTGCTGCTGCTGCTGCACCCGCCACCGCCCTATAAGGGTGGCGCTTCACAGCACCCCACAGACGAGACAACATTTCTGCTGCTGCTGCTGCTGCTGCTGCTGCCCCTTCTGCTGCTGCTTTTGCTTTTGCTGGTGCTGGTGCGGATGCTGCTGCTGCTGCTGTTGCAGCAGCAGCAGCAGCAGCAGCAGCACCTGTTTGCTGCTGCGTGGAACAGCTGAATCCTGCACCTCCGCCTCTCTCCGGTTGCTGCGGCTGCGATGTCGCCGGCAGCAGCAGCTGCGGCTGCTACCGCCGCTGTTCCTGCTGCTGCTGCTGCTGCTGCTGCGGTTGCTGCAGCAGCAGCTGCTGCCGTGCAGAACCCCTCAAACACGCCGTTAGGCTCTCCTGCTGCTGCTGCTGCAGCAGACGAACAGAAGAAGGAGCAAATACGACTTCTACAGCAGCAGAGCTGCAGCAGCAACTGCTGCTGCTGCTCTTCCCGTTGCCGCCGTTGCTGCTGCTGCTGCTGCTGCTGCTGCTGCAGATACACCCCACTGCCCTCGCTATAGACAAAGCAAATTCAATTAACAAATCAGCTGCAGCATAAACAGAAAAAGAATTGGCGGAGCCAAGACGAAGGGATGGCTGCTGCGTCTCACCGTAGCAGCAGCAGCAGCAGCAGCAGCAACTGCAGCAGCAGCAGCAGCAGCAGCAGCAGCGGGGGCCCCTGCTGCTCCGGTTGCTGTGTCTTCTGTTGTGGAGATTCTAAACAAATTATAGTAATGCTGATTTTTTCGTTTTTAATAAAAAGAAGATCAATTGGTCGTCGATATTTACCTCTCCTTGCTGCTGCTGCTGCTGTTGCTGCTGCTGCTGCTGCTGCTGCTGATGGTGCTGCTGGTGTAGCTGCTGCTGCTGCTGTTGCTACTGCTGCTGGTGTTGCTACTTGTGTTACTGCTGCTAGTGTGCTTCTGCTGCTGTTGCTGGTGTTGCTATTGCTGTTGCTGCTGCTGTGGTTGCTGCCGTTGCTGCTGCTGTCGCCGCTCTCTGCTGCTGTCTGCTGCGGCTGCTGCAGCTGCTGCAGCTGCTGCAGCAGGAGAGAGTCTCCTCTCTGTCTCCTTTCCTTCGTTACCTTCGTTGCCTCTCTCTCTGTCCCCCTCTTAGCTCACTAACACAGGCGCTGCTGTTGCTGTTGCTGTTGCTGCTGCTGCTGCTGCTGCTGCAGCATGAAGACAAATTCATATGCTTG